ATACAGTATTGTAAAGTTCAGTGTCAGCATTCCAAATTTTTTGTGTTCAGAAATTTTCATTTTAACAACTTTCAGTATACAGAATTTTTATTCTAATTAAAGGTAAAAGTTAATCTCCAAATACTTCCACCTGGGTAGCAATGTATTTTTATCACCTGCAAAAATATATTTTGCATATATCAATTTATTAACACTATAATTGCACAAATTTCCTTTTATTATTTTACTTTTACTGGGCAAATTGAACTCTGAGAAAATGAAACACTTGTTTCATTTTCTGTTTAATACTTTCAGAAATCTTTACACTTCTGTAAATCCTATTGTAATAATTCCACCATCTGGACTACATTTTTGGTTCTTTCCCATCCCTATTCAATTCTTGAAACAAATCCACTGTTTTTATTATTTTCTGCACTGGCTGCCTACATTTTGACAATGAAGCCCTTAACTAGTAACTTAAGTATACACTTTACTACATCCTTAGAAGAGGTAAATTCTTAATACAACTTTGATTTCACTATCTCCAATGATGAAGATAAAAGTCAACAGCTGAGAGTAAAATAAACAAAGAAGAGCTGTGAGCAATTCTATGAAAAAAAGTACATTATGATGATGGAATTKGCCATATAACATTAATCCAGTCCAAAATAGGACGTTTATTGAAAATAAAGCTGAAGATAATTCCCAGAGTGATGAAAAAAAAAGATCCATGTGCCTTTATTAAATCCCTTAAATGCTAAAGCTGTAAGTAACTAATAAAGAATTACATTTCTAAAATGAATAATGAAAAGTCATAGAAAAGGAAAGTTAATTAAAATAATTAAGGCAAATGAAACTCATAAATATAAATTGGAGTAACATTTAAGAAAAACATGATTAAATTGAAATGCATAATTAGAAACAATCAACATTAGTAAAATTAATGTAAGAATTAAAAGGTAGAAATTGCATTTCAGATGTGATCTAGCTTCTTAAGGAGTGAAATTGTCTGATAACTTATTAAGAAGTGCATCATGTGCAACAGTATTACATATTTAACATCAAAAAAATGTAAAAAAGATAATAACAAATATTCTATCATCCGTCACTAATTTCTATTGTCACTGACAAAACAATCAACAGAATTTATTGCTTATGAATGCAGCTCGAGTTGTACTGGAAAGCTCTGCCTTAATAAATCTCCTTTCTACAGAAAATTATTTTTTTAAATCATAACTGATTCTATCAGTATTTTACATAGCAAATAACCAAATACACTAGGGTATCAGCTGTTTGAACAATGACAGAGAAAGATTTCTGTGATATATTGCAGTATATTTGTCAACAGTTGACTGCAGGAATATATGGAAATAAAAACTTTTTGAAGATACTCAGTTTTAAATAATCTATTACTGTTGTCTAACATAAATTTCATCTTGTTATACTGTACTATATTATCTCCATTTTGCATAGGAGGACTGTTCCATAGAGAAATTTTCACTCTTTAAAGAAAATTCTCCTAAGTTCATGCAGTTTGCATACAACTGAATAAAAGCAGAACTCAGAAACAGAAGTTACAACTGAAAATACAGTTATCATCCCAACACATTGTTATATGATCAAGTTACATCTGTACCCACATTATCACTTTTTGCTAAATATTTTTACACTATTATTTACAATTTGAGGGTTTTTTTTCCTCTACAGGAAAAATAATTGGTCAGAATAAATGATTTGTATAACAAAAGTCTTATGAATACACTATAAACATCCATTTCACTATCACATCTAAAGAAAAATATGGAAGAAAGGTAATGTCAAGAAATCACATTCCTCTCAAAAGTTCCTTCTGACCCTATCAATCATCACTATTGTTCACAAAAAAAAATTATATCCCACTGGACAAGACTGTATTAATCAGGTTCAAAAATAACTGCTCTCTATTTCGTGCCTGGAGGAAACAGAAGATCTGTTCCTCCTAAAAAAAAAAAAAATTGTCACATCATGTCTGAACAGTTTTCCCTGTTTCATCTCTATATATCCAATAAACTTAAATCTGTTCCCTTGGATACTAATTAATTGAAATAAATGAATCTWACTTGTCTGCCTATTAGCTTATATGTACCTCTTCTGCATGAATTTAGTTTAACTAAAAATTATCCTCTTCATTCTTCAGACTCTAAACCAGCAGAGTTCATCAGATTCTGGATACTCTGTTTTATGCCCTTCTTTGGAGAATACAAATATTTGCTTATTTAATTCAAAGGTTTTTTTTTTTTTTTGGTTGGTTGGTTTTGGTTTTTATCAACTTCCACACTACCTCCATTTGAATTAATTCCTGTTTTCTGTTCTTCCTTTACAATTTATTTTTGATCTATACATAAGTGTCTTGATTTACAACTATGTATTTCTTTGTATAAGCAATTCTTTACCTACCTTTAATAAGTGAAAGTATTCCAGGAGTCTGAAATGAAGTGTGGATTATGAATCATTCTCACAAAAGGTACACACAGTCTCCTATTCTTGATTGCAGAAGTAAATTCCAAATTATGACAATTCTTGTGATATTTAAACTTATATGCAAGAAAGATGACACCTAATGTGAGAAGCATATACACTGCTCCAAATATAACTATACTCTGAGTTATTACTATTTGCAAATACATATGCAGTGACCCATAATAAATTATGTTCTCATTCTAATAAAGGATTCATTTTAGAATGCTGACAATAAATAATTTAACAAGAAACCAAAATGGATGCCTGATGTCTTAAATCTAAGAAGACAATTAAAAATATAAACAGAAACACAATAGATTTTACTTAAAGAAAAAAGATGTATGGATAGAGATAAAATTAATATGTAATTTTAATTCTTTGGGATATCTAAACTGGCAAAATAAATCTCTAATGTACATCTGAATTCTGACTGGGCAAAATTTGAAAAAAGTTACAATGAGTTATTATTTTATCTCACATAATATATATGTATATAAAAATACATATAAAGCTGTCTTTAAGGGAAATGAAAGATTCATTGATGAGAACAGTATGACTTTTGTGGAGTAAGTAGAAAATACAATAGTGCCCACAGTAGCAAAGCTACATTGAGTTTAACAGTATGCTTTTATCCTTCTTGACAGAACTGCTACCAAAATCCAGAGCTGGATATGCAATTAGGACAATTAGAGTCAGAGGTGGGTAAGGACTGATAATCAATTTGGCAATTTGTCATGAAATTCTGTTTGTGTCCAGGAACATGCCAGCCCTTCTTTCTCAAGTATCAAAGAAATAATAATAATAAGAAGAAGAAGTAGAAGAAGAAGAGATACAGTTTCCTTTCTTGCAACCATACTTTTCAACACAAATCTTTGATTCAGTAGAAACAAAGAACTGCTGAGTCTGGTCAACAAGTATTACCCTCATATGCCAAAACCCGCAATGGGCAAACAAATAGGATGGGTGACTGACTTCCAGATATACTGTATTCTTCAACCTGATTGAATCACAGTGTGGATGAAAYTATGTTTCAGTCATATATACATACAGAAACATATATTCAAATATATATTCATATAGAATCATAGTTCTGTATCTCTGCAATAACTTCTATGATCTTGTACATTTAACTCTATGTACCCTCCTTTTGTAAAATATTTAACAACCTACTCTGTTACCTGAACACTCAATCTGAAAAGCAATCTTTAATGCCTACATGAAACATAAAAGGTAAGTGATTCATGGTAGCATTTTAATTTAAGAACCTCTTCTTCAGTCATGTGCTCATGTGCAATTTCAAATGTGCTATCTGGGGGGAAAAAAAAGGTCATATTGCAACTAGAAATAAGTCAACATTTTAAAATGATTTGTTGTTCAGTTCACTTCTCACAGCTCACTTTTTTCATTGAAAGGAAATGGGATAGAAATTCAAGAAAAAAATAAAAACAAGGTTTTGAAACCAAAAGAGAGAGAAACAGATTACATTTGATGAAAGAAAAGAGTACTCTTCTCAAAATCACAGTGTTTAAAAATGGAATTAAAAGCACCCTGCTACCTACACAGTAGCATTACTGCATAGGACTAAAATGACAGAATCTTTTCCCTAACTTACCCTTCTCTTTTCCTCATGCTTCACTTTTTGAAAGTGAATGTTGAAAAGAACTCGAAAATCACAGAAACTCAGAATCACAGAATGGCTAAGGTTGGAAGGGACCTCTAGAGATCATCTAGTCCAACCTTCCTGCTCAAGTACRGACACCTACAGCATGGGACACAGGGTGGCAGCCAGGCGGGTTTTGAAGATCTCCAGAGAAGAAGACTCCACAGCCTCTCTGRGCAGCCTCTTCCAGGGCTCTGTCACCTTCTCAGGAATGAAGTTCTTCCTCATATGGAGATGGAACTGCCCGTGTTTAAACTCGTATTCATTGCCTTTTGTCCCATCACTGGCCACCACTGAGAAGAGTTTGGTCCCTTCCTCCTTACATTCACTCTCCAGGTACTTTTACATGTTAATCAGATCCCCTTCAACCTTCTCTTCTCAAGGCTAAACAGGCCCTACTTGCTTAGTCTCTCCTCCTAGGATAGATGCTCCAGTCTCTTAATCAYCTTTGTTGCCCTCTGCTGGACCCTCTCTRGAAGCTCCACATCCCTCTTGTATTGGGGAGCCCAGAACTTCACACAATATTCTGTATTTTTATACAGATTTACTAACTGAAGCATAAATGAGAACTCTTCTTCAGTGTTTTGGTTAAAACAAATATAAAATCCAAGCTCATCTACATACAAACTCCTATACAAAAATATTCCATGTTACTATCACATTTACACCATATTAAATACTGTGACAGAATTGTTAAGATAACTTTAGATAAATAAATCTTATTATTCATCCATCCATATAATTTTACCAATCTTTTTGCACATCTTCTAAAACTCTTCAGGACTTTAGTTCAGAAAGATCTAYTACAGTCTAATATATATGATATACTGTGTCGCTGAATATTAACGTACTTTAAAATTACCTGTATAGCAAGTGCTCGAGCTACAAGACCTCTAAGATACTGTAAAGGGTCTTCTGGGCCTTCCCACTTACTTTGCCATGCGAGAGGACACTGAAATAAAAAATATATTTACAGAAAATATCCATTTCAAAACCACCATCATTGCATTTTAATTTAGTAATTTGAAGTAAACTATCTGTATATCAAGTATACCTACAAATTAAAAAGACAATACAAATAATTTAACAGTGAAAGCATGAAATCTCTAATGGAATTTCTTTTTCTGTTGCATATTCTTTATGTGGCCTAAAAAAACATAATGCCAATGAAAAACTGCTAAGAATCTCTGTTATTCAATACATAATACAGGTCCCAATAGCAGGTCTAGGTTGATCATTTCCCTGAAAGCCACAATCCAGCATTTCTTCAACTGCAACCACAGGTTGACATGCCTTTGCTGCCACAGAACTGTGCTTGTGCAGCTCCTTGGTGAAATCCATCTGTTGATATTCTAGTAGCTTCTACAGGAGCTATGGTTTTAGAAGAACCATAATCTTAATTGTGCCTTAAAAAGTTAAGTATTACAAACAAACAAAGCCCYTTATTACTAAACATATGACCATGTGAAATCAAACTAGATCACCGTACAGAAAATACCTGAAACGATAAAATATATATTAARGTTTAGCTGACATGGTTGTAATAGAGCAGAATTAGAGCTGCTAAGAGCTTCTGAAAAGACTGCTTTATGGCCACAATGCAAAATACTGATCTGTGAGAGGATGAGTAGTCAATAAGCAGATGAGATGCTAGAAACACTTTGCTTGGTGTAGCAGGAGGCACTCAATTGATGTTTCTGAGGGAGAAAATGCACAGAAACTTCAGAGCACATCTTTGTGACAGCATCTGGCTTCATAACTCCTGATGTTCCTAATGTATATGTACTGTTTAAAGCACAGAAGCAATTCATATTCTCTTCCTCAGGAGCAAAAAGTCAATTAGATTGCTAATATGAAAATGATAACTTTCTCTAATTGTACTGAAATTTTGCTAATATGTTATTTTGTCTCTCTCACAAGAAAAAGAATTTTAATTCTAATTTTGATTAAAACTTTGATAGGTGTACATATATGCATAACAATAGTGTAATTTGAAGTTACTTGTGACTACTTAATAACATTGGTTTGCAATGCAGACAGCCTTTCACTGAAGAGAACTAAATTTCTCTGTACAAAGACCATTGACTGRCATTCAGATGGTCCATTTTACCTCTCAAAATTAGCTCTGAACTCTAACCATAATTGTCATCTTTAAGATTAGGATCCTCTGGAACTCCCTAATCCATTTTAGATTCACTGTCAATAAAGAACTCAGGGCAAATAGTGACATGAAAATATGTATCAGAATTCCATTCAATTTCCTCATTTTCATTCTTCTTTGCTTATAATGTTAATTCCTGAAAAAATGCTTACCTTCTGATTCAGCAGAGCACTTGCTAGTTGTTGTACTTCAGTACTCAATAACGAGGTACCTCTGATGACTTTACTTAAAGCAGCAAGTGACTGATGGACACTCTGAACAAGGAGAACTGCATTGAATTGTTCAAGAGYAATGAATGATAAGATTGGAGACCCTTGTCGCTCCACAGGAGGAGACACCTTCTGATGAATCAGGTTAGAATTCTAGAAAATAACACGCGACAGCCCRTTAATGAACCCAGGGAAACTACTATGATACACTACATACTCTTGGGTTAATTCATAAAACTTACTTCAAAGGTCATATGAAGTAACATATTCCTCTTTCTCCCACTGTATGATAATCATGATGAGAGCTTCCTTATCATCACTGAGATATTACAGTAAAGGCACCACTCTCCTGAGACTCTTGTCTATCCTATATTTTACAAGTACKGGAATTCTTGAAAATTCTTCATTTAGCTGAATGAATCATTGTTTTTAATATTTCAGCGAGTCTAACAGTATGACAAGCAGCAGTGCACTTACTACTGTGATTTTGTACAGGGTACAATAAACTATGTTGCCAGATACAGCTCTTGTTTTGATGAGCCTAGTTTAACTAACCAGTTCCGACAAAGGACAGTAATTGCTTCTTACTGGTAGCATTAGTTTAACAGATTGAAAACAGAAGGAGAGATTAGAGAACCCATACACCTCATTCCAGAAATATTATCTGATTAACTGAACCATTACATCTCTTAAATACAAGATATTACACACAGTCATGTAATATTCCATTTTAGCTATCAGTCCTACATGTTTTTTTTCTTTTAATGTTTATTTTYCCTTGACATTGGACATTTATTATCTTGATAGAGAGAGAGAAGTTTTACTTAATATTTTATTTGCAGAAAAATGAAAATGAAAGGAATCTTTMTTGCAATTAACAGCCCCAATTGTGGGTCTCTGCCATTAAAAAATAAATTCTACTATTTTAAAAACGTTCAGGGTCCTCCAAAAAAAAAATCTAATAGTGATTTACCTTTTCTGTACAGCTAGTCATAAGCAGGCATTGATCACAAACACTTTTTTATTATCAGTAATAATTAAGTCAGTCTAGTTAAACACTGTAGTCATATATATTGAAGTGAATAATAAATAGTAGGTGGGCTGACATTACCAAATTGTCACAGAATTATTTTACATATTGAGTTGCTACATGACAGAAGTGGAAAGTTCAGAGATGTTTCAAGAATAATCCCTTTCCAAGTGACAAGAAAAGGCCACTCATATCAACCACCTAGCAATTTTAAGAAAAATTGTTTGATGAGTTATTAATCAAACATTAAGGGAGAAGGAGAAAAAAGACTTCCGAAGGGCAGAAGTTAAGTAGAGAATGCTTAGCTGAATACAGATTTTCTATTATTCACATGATAGCAACTGTTATTGAAATTATAGTAGAATATTTCTCCTATTCCTTAGCTAAATCTGGGAATTTAGTTTTTCATTTTAGTTTTTCCTCTTGAGATTTTTGGAGTTTTATATCTAAACATTCCTGGTCTCGAGTTATCATAGCTCAAAAATACAGTTTGCAAAATAAAATAAGAAAAATTAATGTGTCATGGGAATTACATTCTTTAAAGTGAAAACACAGAGTTGAATAAACTCAGATGCTTCAAAAATGTTTTAAACAACTCATTTCTTATTTCTCCTTGATACTAAATTTTCTTAAAGTTCTAACTCAGCAAATCATTCAAGTAAATCTACTAGCAACTCTGATAATCATCTAGTACTGTGAGAAAGCTTTCTAAGTATCTTTAACTTTTTTTTTTWAATTATACAGTGAAAGCACATTGCTAGTGAACAATAAAGAAAGAAAGAAAGCTAAATCATAACATTATTTTACTTGGAATACAGCATCTTATGTGTAGTTCCAGGGTAGCAGATATTTTAAGTCAGGAACACAGCACGTAACAGCTTTAGAAGACACATAATCTGTTTCAGTAAAAAGAACACTTGATTGACTAAGAATTTTTTTTTTAAGTTTGCTGTATAAATGAAGAGCTTAATCAATCTTGAAACATTGTCAATTCACTCAAATTCAAATGCATTGATAATATGAACATAAGTACTTAGGTTTTTATAGCTTATACTGAGAAACAACATACATGCAATCACTGCGTTATATGGAAATATTTAAAATACTATATTCTATAGGACAGGATTTATGTAATCATATTTAGTTATGTTTTCTTTAGAAGAGGAACAAATACGCAACATGAAGTTTATTTTCAAAGCTAGATTCTGTATTAAATACTGTATTTCTGAAATAGTACTGTGTGTAAATTCTAAATTACTCTCGCTATTTGCAATTGCCTATTGTTATTTTTATCACTCCTTTCTCTTCCATTATAGCCACTGAAAATCCAGATTTACTCATTAATTTAAAAAGATGGTATTTTGTAAAATGTTGCAAATGTTAATCATGGCTTATTATATTTAGCATGTATTCTTAAACTACCAACTAGACATGCAATAACACACTGCACTGAATTTCAGTTACGGGATTTAAAACTTCATTGTAAAATTCTACAAGTTTCAAATGCACTACACTCTGCCAAATCCTTTTTTTTTTTTTTTTTTTTGACATATGTTATGAAGGAAAAGTTTCTAACATTTTATTAATGATATTTCTGTGAAACATCCCTTCATAAATTACAACTCATTTTGATTTTTTTTTCAGATTAAATAAACTTTTGATTAGTTACATGGTATCTTGCTTTCTAGGGCACATAATATGTCCACCTCCATAACAATCTATAAACATTGTAAGTTTRCCAGAACTTTCAAATGTTTTTCATCTCAAGCTCACACTCATCTGCCAAGCAGATATATGAGAAAGAATAAGTTAAAGTCTAATGAAGATGACTAAGGTTATGACTGACAGAAAAATGAACTTTCCCCGGGAAAGTGATGGAGCCCCGGGAAAGTGATGGAGCAGCTCATCCTGGCTGCTCTCTCCAGACACATGGAGGAGAAGAAGGTGCTCAGGAGTAGCCAGCATGGATTCACCAAGGGGAAATCCTGCTTGACTAACCTGATCACCTTCTACGAAGGAATATCTAGCTGGATAGATGAGGGCAGAGCGGTGAATGTCATCTATCTGGATTTGAGCAAGGCTTTTGACACTGTCCCTCACAGCATCCTCCTGGGCAAGCTCCAAAGGTGTGGGATAGATGTGTGGACGGGGAGGTGGATTAGGAATTGGCTCGATGGCAGGGTGCAGAGAGTGGTTGTCAATGGTGCGGAGTCCAGCTGGAGGCCTGTACTTAGTGGTGTCCCCCAGGGGTCAGTTCTCGGTCCGGTCCTGTTCAACTTATTCATTAACAACCTGGATGAAGGGCTGGAGTGCTCCCTCAGCAAGTTTGCCGACGATACCAAACTGGGWGGAGTAGCTGATAGCCCTGAGGGCTGTGCTGCCATCCAGAGGGACCTGGACAGACTGGAGGACTGGGTGGCGAGAAACCTCATGAGGTTCAACAAGGGCAAGTGCAGGGTCCTGCACTTGGGGAGGAATAACCCTGGACACCAGTACAGATTAGGAGTGGACCTGCTGGAGAGCAGTCCCGCAGAGAGGGACCTGGGTGTCATGGTGGATGACAAGTTGACCATGAGGCAGCAGTGTGCCCTGGTGGCCAAGAAGGCCAACGGGATCCTGGGGTGCATTAAGAAAAGCGTCTCCAGCAGGTCGAGGGAAGTGATCATCCCCCTCTACTCAGCCCTGGTGAGGCCACATCTGGAGTACTGCGTCCAGTTCTGGGCTACCCAGTACAAGAGGGATGTGGAGCTGCTGGAGAGAGTCCAGCGCAGGGCTACCAGGATGATCAGGGGCCTGGAACATCTGCCCTATGAGCAAAGGCTGAGAGAGCTGGGTCTGTTCAGCCTGGAGAAGAGGAGGCTGAGGTGGGACCTGATCAGCGTGTATAAATACCTCAAGGGAGGCAGTGAGGAGGAGGGGGGCRGCCTCTTTTCAGTGGTGGGCAGGGATAGGACTAGAGGAAATGGCTTCAAACTGAAGCATCGGAAGTTCCACAGGAACTTAAGGAAGCATTTCTTCACTGTGAGGGTGACAAAGCACTGGAACAGGCTGCCCAGAGAGGTTGTGGAGTCTCCTTCTTTGGAGATCTTTAAAACCCGSTTGGATGCAGCCCTGTGCCAYGTGCTCTAGGTGACCCTGCGTGAGCAGGGGGGTTGGACTCGATGACCTCTGAGGTCCCTTCCAACCTTCGGCATTCTATGATTCTATGAATGACCAGGTCTTGCATCCTACACTGAGGTATACCACAAATCTTTTTACTAGTAAAGGATAAGGAGTATACACTATTTAGGTGTGTCACATTCTGTATTTTGGGTTTGCAAGCATTTTAAAATGACAGTAGAAAAGCTTTACTTCATTTTTTTCTGAGCTCATAGCTTACTGAGGATGAAAAAGGAATTATGATAATTTCCCTGTGAACCGGGATGTGTCTGATATACAAGTGCTTCTAGCTTCTGTGGCTTAGGCTAGTTGATAATTTCTTGTTCAAGAATTAAATATTAGAAGAAAAAGAAGGAAGAGCAACGTCATTGCAACTCGTGGCTTATCTCAGTCTTTCACAAACACCATCTTAATTCATTACATGCACGCTGAAAGGGGAAGCTCCTAAAATCCTCAATACTGCCCTTTACATAACACTGTCCTCGGAATTCCACATTCATTTCATCATTCTTTTTAATAGAATCACAGGATGGTTAAGGTTGGAAGAGATCTCTTATTTAGTCTAACATCCCTGCTCCAGCAGGGACACCTAGAGCACAGGGCACAGGGTGGCATCCAGGTGGGTTTTGAAGACATCCAGAGAAGGAGACTCCACAACCTCCCTGGGCAGCCTATTCCAAGGCTCTGTCACCCTCACAGTAAAGMAGTTCCTCCTCACCTGGAGATGGAACTTCCTGTGTTGCAACTTACCCATTTCCTCTTGTCCTGTCACTGGCCACCACCAAGAAGAGTTTGGCCCCTYCCTCCCTCCATTCTCTCCTCAAGTACTTATACATATTGATCAGATCTCCTCTCAGCCTTCTCTTCTCCAGAGAAAACAGGCCTAACTCACACTCAGTCTCTCCTCATATGAGAGATGGTCCAGTCCCTTAATCATCTTTGTCGCTCTCTCCTGGTCCCTCTCGAGAAGCTCCCTCTTATACTGGGGAGCCCAGAACTGCACCCAATACTCCAGGTGCAGCCTCACCAGAGCTGAGGAGAGGGGCAGGATCCCCTCCCTTGACCTGCTGGCAACATTCCTCCTGATGCAGGCCAGGATCCCATTGGCCTTCTTGGCCACGAGGGCACACTGCTGACTCATGGTTAACTTGGTGTCCACCAGGACTCCCATGTCCCTCTCTGTGGAGCTGCTTTCCAGCAGGTCGAGCCCTAATCTGTACTGATGCCTGGGGTTATTCCTCCCCAGGTGCAGGACCCTTCACTTGCCCTTATTGAACCTTATGAGGTTCCTCTCTGTCCAGCTCTCCAGCCTGTCCAGGTCCCTCTGAATGGCAGCACAACCCTCTGCAGTGTTGGCCACTCCATCCAGTTTAATATCAAATATTTTTTCCTGAGAATTTGTTGAAACAATTCATCTGTCAATTTTATAGAAAAATTAAATATGAATTCTGAGATCAATTTATACATTTAATGTCCCATTAAATTTCCTTAAAATCCATTACGTATAGAATTCACAGTAGCTTTTAAAACATTCTTATGACCTGCTTGGGAATGAAGATGAAGAAGTGAAGTACAGAGTGCTCTTCCTGAAGAGAAGAACCCAAAGAAAGGTTCTAATCTTTCATATTAAATACTATACTTTGCCTCAAATATTACATTTTGATATCTCCGGTCATCTTTTCTCTGACTTCTGTTTGTCACTATCTTGACAATATAAACTTTACATATTCTCACCTACGCTTCTCCGGATCTTTCCTTCATTACCTTCCTAAGATTTTTCCAACATGTTCTGAAAACTGCTCCCTTCAGAAATGTAACAAATATAATGAAAATTAATCCACATACCTCCAATAATGCTGTATTTGACTCAAAATCTGATTTCTTTCATTGCTGTTGTTTTGGAATCTCTACACTGTACTGTTTCTTCCCTTCTTTCTGGCTATTCATATTAGCCTCTCACTATTTTTTAAACAAATTTTTCATTGTTGAGGGTACAAGCGAGAATGATCTTAAAATTTCTGCCTCACTGACTCTATTTGGTGACAAAAAAACACAATTCTTTTCCTAAAGCTGAGGTTCCTAATCTTTTAAATAAATGAGCCACGGCCTGTCAATTTTCAAAACTACTTTTGCAATTCTCTTGCAGTATTATGCTACTTTATGAAAGTCTTTAACTAATTAACCTTCAATTTGAAACACAACAAAARATAAGGTAGGACATTTTTCATAATTTGGGGAATCTTGACAGCTAATAATCTCATGAAAAATCATTTTGCAGCAATTATTTCCAACTTCTTAGTATGGATGAGCCACTTAACTTTTACAGAAGTACAAAAGCTTTCCCTGACACAAGGCTGAAAATGTGTCCCCCATGTGATCAGAATCACAGAATCTTCAAGGTTGGAAGGGACCCCTAGAGATCATCTAGTCCAACCTTCCCGCTCAACCAGCGACACTTAGAGCATGTGRCAAAGGGTGGCATCCAGGCRCGTTTTGAAGACCTCCAGAGAAGGAGACTCCACAACCTCCCTGGGCAGCCTCTTCCAGGGCTCTGGCATCTTCACAGTAGAGAAGTTCCTCCTCACCTAGAGATGGAACCTCCTGTTTTTCAACTTATACCCATTTCCCCTTGTCCTGTCGCTAGCCACCAATGAGAAGAGCTTGGCTCCTTCTTCCCTACATTCTCCCTTCATGAACTTATGCATGTTAAACAAATCCCCTCTCTGCCTTCTCTTCTCCAAGCTGAACAGGCCCAACTCACTCAGTCTCTCCTCATACAAGAGATGTTCCAGTCCCTTAATCATCTTTATTGTCCTCTGCTGGATCCTCTCTAGAAGCCCCATGTCCCTCTTATACTGGGGAGCCCAGAACTGCACCCAGTACTCCAGGTGTGGCCTCACCAGAGCTGAGGAGAGGGGCACGATCCCCTGCCTTGATCTGCTGGCAACACTCCTCCTGATGCAGCCAGGATCCCATTGGCCTTCTTGGCCATGAGGGCACACTGCTGACTCACGGTYAACTTGGTGTCAACCAGGACTCCCAGGTCCCTTTCCGTGCAGCTGCTTTCCAGAAGGTTGACCCCTAATCTGTGCTGGTGCCTGGGGTTATTCCTCCCCAGGGGCAGGACCCTGCACTTGTCCTTGTTGAACCTCATGAGGTTCCTCTCTGYCCAACTCTCCAGCCTGTCCAGGTCCCTCTGGATGGCAGCACAGAATACAGCACTTTTTTCCTGTCTCTCAATGCTTATGACAGACAGCCCGTTAGTGGCTCATCTGAGGAGTCACCATTGTGGACAAATACTCTTGCACATTCCCAAAGAGCAGTACACAGAAGGCTTAATTATTAAGTCTTATTATGTTTGAAAATAATGCATAGCCAGTTATGTGGGTGSTCATCTCTACTCTGCCATGGGCAGAGGTTGTGTAGGATGACAGCCACAGACAGAGAGACGCAGGTTTATTGCTGAACAAGCTGAGCCACCCTCATGGCCCTGCCATGGCTTAAAGTCCACAGGGAAGCCATCCATCCATCCATCCATCCACCCATCCATCCATCCATCCACCCATCCATCCATCCATCCATCCATCTATACCAGGGGATACGACTGACATTTTTTTTTGACAATTTATTCCATGATGGCTTCATTTTCTTCAGTAAACAATCATTTGTATTTGTGCAAGTTTATACCATGCATCTGACGGGATTTTTTTTTTAAACTTAAGGGTGACTTCATTCAAGTTTAATTAATTTGACTAATGTTAATCTGTTATTAAATCATGCTGAAAGGCACTGCAGAAGCAGTTTTAGGATAGTGTTCGTTATCAGGGTGTTCTTTAAAGGGAAGTTTTAAAATGTGCATTTTCAAATGAGGCTAATATAGATTAAAATGTCAAGGGATTATGGAGTCTTGGGTTAGTCCAAAACAGCTAAATATAAAGGGGGAAATGTGCTTGTATAACTTTAAGCACATCAGTGTACTGATCTGAGGCAGAATTTGAGTACTTATTTTATTTAAAGTAAAATTCAAAGTAAAATTGCTGTCTGGATTCTGGTTGGATTAATAAACAGTGACTGAAAAGAGAAGTAACTTTCACAATTATATTACAGAAAGAAACTTTCACAATTATATTACAGAAAGATAAACAATAGTAAACCCTATCACAGCAGTTTTAGATTGTGTGAATAATTGGTCATTACATTTAACAGGGCTTTATACTGTTAGAAAGACGAAAATGCTAAGCAAGAAAGAAAAACAGCTGAGCAGCATGATAAGGCACCTGCCACAGCCTGGAAAATAGCCCCTCTAAGCATCCTGCAGCTCAGCATTGAGGGGCAGCAGCCACAGGCTAAGAATTAGGCAGAGAGTGAAGCCTCTGATGGAGGGAGGTGACCCCAGCGGTGAGGGGGCAGGTCAGAAGGCTGCGGCCCTTGTCAAAGRGCTCTCTGACCCACCTACCTCTGCCTGGGGCACTGAGACCATCAAGCACCACAGYCTCAGCACTGGCTTCACAGCACTGTGTACTCGCAGCTAATTTAGGATGCAAGTTTCAAAGATTAACTGCTTTGAATATGCAGTGCTAATGAATAATAATGATAAAGAACTAACCATCCATCACCAATGTGCGCTGTAAGGGAATATTAATGCAGTATAGCTTTATTTTAAAGTTTACAATTGGCCTCATTTATCAGTCTTCTGAACACTGCCATTATAACTAATTCCCTGACATGTATAYGCATATCTGTATATATCTATATCTATATAAATATATAGACATATATGCATGCACTTAATTTAAACAGTTGCCTCAGAACTTTTGCACAGAARGATTGCAGGTTATGTTTAACTCCAGTCAGAGGGTGTCATATTGAAAAATATTGTCTTTTCTTACAAGATCAGAGAGGTGATTAACAGCAGGAAATGTTCAGATGACTAACAGAATTTATCATAAAGTTATTTAGTACAATGATGTATTTTGTCAAAAAGGTAATATTATCAAACATTTAGCATGGATGAAGGGCAGATTTAACGAGAGATTTCAAAATGTAAYTGAAAATTTTTATGTGTCAGTCATGTTACTTCTATGTCTGCTGTTATTTAAGCAAAGGAAAAGTTTCTTCCATTSAAGTATTGCTATCTGAAGGATACATTTTTCGGCCACAATTTCTTACCAATGAACAGAAAAACAGGTCAAATATCTAGCTAGATACTTAATATCAGGTRAGAGAAATCCTCCCCTAGTAGCTGCATTTCGAAGAGAATGGACACATATTGCAATTAAATACATATCCAAAAAATATTTCAATGGTTGGAAAGCTACTGGTATTTTTCAATAACATACAGGGAAAAAAATAAAGCTTTATACTTTGCTTTGTGCATACTAGAGACATGTTTGGAGTCTGCTCTCACTTCTACATGAAGAAAGTGAAGGGCTGATCATTATCCCACATCACAGCTAATTACAYACATGTTACATTGTACTTCCCACCTCAAATACACTTCATTTACCTGTCAACTTCTAATAGATCAATATTCAAGATAATTAAACATTTTACTTTTAATATAGCTAATAAAAAAAAAGTCTTTTCAAATTAACTACTTCTTACCTGATTAAGTTTCTTCCATAGATTGAGAATTGGAGAAAGTTCAGTAGACCATATYTCTCTGTCAAATTTGCAGCCAGCAGTTACCGACCTGCTCAGGATCCGAAGCTGTGAAATGACCTGTGTAATGAGAATATAATGTAGGAACACGGAAAAATATTGCAAATACTGAAGAACGTTAGACAAACTCCTCGCAGAAAAACACAACAAAATAAAACAAACAAAAAAAACCCCTCACAATATTACAGCAACCACTCTATGATTTATTTATGGGCTATCTTTTTCTSTATGTCCAAGTATTAACCAAATTCTATTTGAAATACAAACATATCCTATATCCACATATTTAACATACTTGAACTTCCATTCATATTAAGAACAAAACCAAAAACTTGCAAGTTTTTCATACTTTTTTTCAGTCACCTCTTACATTCAACTGTAATTTAAAAACTAATTGGGTATGTAATTAACTAAAAAGAATATTTACTACAGAATCTACAGAAAAAAAATAAAGCATTATCTTTAACTAAGCTCTATCAGTAAATAAAAAAATAAAGCATGTTACTAAATATACACAGTACCTGTAAGGCATCACAACTCCAAGACCATTATAACCAGTTCACTCTTCCCATTCAAATTACTTAAATGGGAAGAAGAGGAAGGGAGGAACATTAGAAGAATAACTACAATGCTCTCAGAAAGAAGAGACCTCCCAATTTTTCAAGTCCAATCATTTTTTTTTTTTTTTTGTCATCGATTCCGATAACTCCTGATAACTGATGATTGGTCCATAAATGCATCAAACCTAATATTAGAAGTACAAACAATTCCAAATGAAACTTTCTTTTCTAGAACTTCACCACTACTTATAGCAGTTATTTCCTTCTAAATGCCACTGAAAACCAAAGGACATGGGAGCATAAAACTGTCTTGGCCTTCTGGATGTCTGTTATTCTTGAGATGTCTCAGGAARGTGTCCTTTACCCCTTCAATAAAGTGATTAAGCTTCATTTAAAATTGAGTAGGTTTATGTGTAGTTTAAATTCTGGCAATACTGAGTGTGAGTTTTTCCCTTTATGTTGTGAGACTGCACCTGGAGCAGTGTGYCTGGTTTGGGGCCCTGCAGCACAAAACACTGACATACTGGAACAAGTCTGGAACACATGGCTACCRGGGTGACGTTGTGTCCAGAGCACACGACATGCTCATGCTAAGCCTTTGTGAAGGGATGGCTAAGGTGAGATTTTATTGCTGTCTACAACTACCTAATTAGATGCAGCAGAGACAACAAAAGCAAATTCTTCTTGGGGGAAGAAAAATGGGGAAGAAAAACTTTAAATGGGAAAGAAAAGAGACAAGAGGTACAAACTGCAACGTGGGAAATTCTAACTTCTCAATTTTATATGTTTCCATAAATCCTACAAATATTACGTCATTCAGAATGCAACATTTGCAGGGCAAATAAACTTAGATATCATTTTGCAGTGGCTGATTTGGGTAACCCAACTCTATTGTGAAGAAATATCTCAGTACACAGGCAGAGTGAAAAAGGGTAAAATTAATGCACTGAGATGATGAGCAGGACTTTAAAATAATAAGGACTTTGCATCAAACCTACAGCAATTCCACTCCTTCAATTTATTTGCAGTAGAAAAACTTCTCAGAAAAAGTGCTGAACTGAAATATCTCGTGTTCTTTCAATCTGAATTAAACGGTCTGGGGACAGTACTGAGAGTTTCCACTCTGAACCTCTGCTTGAACTGATCTGATGTGCACAGTGCCAGCAGTAGCAACACTTGTCTTTGAACTCCTCATGCAAAAGAGAGGAGCAAGAATCGGAAAAGAGAGTAGGAGAAGCAAAAAAGAGAAATAGTAGACTGTGGACTGTCGGAGATGCAGGGGGGAGTGAAAAATATTCCAAAAAGTATTTTAATTTAGTTATTTGATAAGAAATTACAATGAAAAGCATATAAGAAAGAGTATAAATTTAGTTTATAAGTTCCTTTAAGTAAAAGTAGGCAGTTCTGGGTTCCCTAGTACAAAATACAAGTGGAGTTTCTAGAGAGGGTCCAGTGTAGATAGACAAAGATGGTTAAGGGACTGGAGCGTCTATCTTATGAAGAAAGACTAATTGAGCCTTTTAGGCTGTTTAGTCTAGAGAAGGGAAGAGTGAGAGGGAAAGTACCTGAGAGGAGAATGTAGGAAGGAGGGGGCCAAACTCTTCTTGGTGGTGGCCAGTGACAGGACAAGGGGTAATGGGTGCAAGTTGAAACACAGGCATGGGTCTTCCTCACATGTTTCATGTGAGGAAGAACTTCTTCACTGTGAGGGTGACAGAGCCCTGGAACAGGCTGCCCAGAGATGTTGTGGAGTCTCCTCTGGAGATCTTCCAAATCCGCCTGGATGCCACCCTGTGCCCTGTGCTCTAGGTGTTCCTGCTTGACTAGATGATCTCCAGAGGTCTCTTCCAACCGCAACCATTCTGTGACTCTGTGTTTGTGTTCGAAAAGTATATAAAATAGAAAACTGATGGAAAAATAGACTGAGTTCTCGTGTAAGCAGCCTCTATCAATCTCTTTAATAGATCTCTATAGCAAAGGTCACACTTCAAGGTGACGTCTGTTTTTAACTGAAGACCTGCCCTACCCATCAATCTTCATCATTAGCTAATTTTTCCAGGTTTGAGCTTCACTGTTTTAGGGTTTCCTTCAAGAGACTGTCTGGCCTAGCTTGCTTTTCTGTCAACCCATATAAAAATTCTGTCACTTTATCCTTCATATTTTTATAAAATGTGACCTCCCTCACACCTAAGTGGCTCACTGACAGTTATTGCCAGTCTTCATGAAAGGTTTTACCTTCTTAATTTTGACTTCAAGAAACATTTCTACTTTTATAGTGAAGCTAAACTGATGAACCAAGACTCTTAGGATACATTTAGAGCATCAGCACCTACATTACAGACTGATCAAAATCTACTGTTTTTGTCATTAACCTTATTTTTGAGACCATTCTGCCTAAGATTTTCTGAAATGACTATATTTGTTTTTCTATTAAAGGGCAGCTGTCCTGAGATGGTCCTCAAGGCATCACATCCATCTCCTATTTTAGCTCTTTGTCCACACCTCCCAAGGTAAACTTTTCTAACCAGTCCTTTTCTATCTCTCTGGCTAAAGCGTCTGCAATCCTTTCAGCTGTTAAAAAATTGATTACACAAATGCAAGTGTGAAATCCTTTATGTCAAAGTACACTCAGAGCAGGTGGAGACATTAACAGGTCCCTTCTCAACTGACAAGGGTCAATCCTGCATCTTATACTACCCACATAGTCATCAAACAGATCTAAAGACGGCTAAATTGTCCTTCAGAGGTCTTCCTACTGACTAGATAGGAAAAGTAGTGCCCATAGGTACGTACAGATGGGTCTATAGTGTGAAAATGAGAATAAGGGTTTTAATTTCCTAGAAATCAAACTTAAAGCTTTAGTTGCTATATTTTTTTTATATATATATATATATATATATATATATACACACACACACATATATATATGGCAGCTCCTATAGCTCACATTATTGTTGACATATGGAAAAGATGATTTTAGGGTATAATTTTAGATATTTTCTTTAGGATGAGACTAACAGTGCCTTGAACACAATACTTTCATGCTTCTGGGGAGAAATTAAATGTGAACAGAACAGATGCAGATATCTGTGTCAGTTGAATGATACCCTTTGCACTTGATTTGAAAAGGTACTTAGTAGTTACAGCTATAACTGCTATAACAGCTATATAGCTACGTAGCTATAGCTATAATACTAAGCAATCTGAAAATCTAATCATGGTAAAATAGGGCTAGTGAAAATCAGAGCACTTCAAAAATACCTAACTTCCAAATGCTCCCCACTGTTACCCTAATACATTCTTTTAATATATTATACACTAAAAGCTCTTATATGCTGTGCTAGTCCATTGCAAATACACATTTCAATATAAATACACATCTCAGTATAAATGTTAAGAGGGCAAAGAATTACCATAAAGCAGGAAAACAATGCTGGGACTGAAAATACGAGTAAGGGATGGAAAGCTAATCCAATATAAATTAATGGCCAATAACACTCTGTTTCAAGAGAGACAAAAAGGTTATTTAGAATCATCGTTTTTCATACAAACTGCCTGTTTTAGTTGTGGAAAACTAATCATAGCAGTATTTCTACTAAAAATTCAAAAGAGTAATTTATTTGTGAACAGTGCATTTAATAACTATGGACAATGCAGTGCTGCCAAATATTTTTTTTCCATTCTTAGTAGAAAATTCCTCTGTTGCATGTGTCTTCACATTTTTAGCACTGAAAAAATGTGAATTACATAAATAAATGTGTGGTCATCAAACTTAAAATCACAATATTTATTTAGGCAGTTATTAAAATTAACTGCAGCTCAGCTTTTTCATCTACTGCATGCTTCCTTTTATGGGTTTCTGAAGATATACAGCACTGAATTACATTTAAAGAAAACACATTTGGAGAAATTAAAAGAGATAATGAACAGAATGAGAAACAACAAAGATAAATGATTCCATATGACTTCATATTGAACTGCTAGAAAATTGTTTTAGACTTGAAGACTAAAATAAAGATAGTAACGTACTACTTGTGCAAAGATGCTACTTGACAAATGCTGTAGATAGTAACCACAGGACAGTATCTGAGTCTTGGATTTATTTCATGAGCAAAATACGCTAAAAATTATATTTATACAGCATCACTAAATAATACACACAGTTTTGCAATTCAAGAGAGAGGAAAGACCTAAAGCCCCAAATCTTTTGTGAAATTCTGTCTTTGAATATAAAAAAACCTACCTAGGATTGATCATTTCTTAACTGTGTTTATTATTCTATTATTCTACTTAAAAAAAAAATGCCAGACAGATATGTACTATTTTTTTCAAAACTAAGTAACAGATGAAAACATTTTTTTTTTTTTTGAATAAAAAGCCATTAAACTCCCTCTCACTAAATCTGCGGAAAACACCAAGCAGATACTCTACTGCCATCTGCCAGTTTTAGAAAGATGTAGTCTTAGAAGAGAAATCACTTCTGTATTTTACTTCCCCAAA